CTTCATAATGGCTGCCAATCTTACTGGAGTGAGATGGGTATCTTAGGGTGGTTTGATTTGCATTTCTCTGACTGCTAGAGATGGTGAGCATTTTTTCATGTACTTGTTGATTGGTTGTTATGTCCTCCTCTGAGAAGTGTCTGTTCAGGTCCTTGGCCCATTTGTTGATTCGGTTATTTGAAATTCTTTTTTAAAAACCAAAAGCTTGTTTGAAATCTTAGAAACTTAACATTTTCTCAACTTTTCTGCACAAAAATAATAGTGAATGGTCAAGCAGGATAGAATATGACTCCTTATGGCGTATATATAATTCATATTAGAGAAATGAATATAACTTTTAAAAAGAGAAAAGGTGACCTGGATTGAACACCACAATATCGAGCTATCTGGACTGATTCTTTATTACAGTGTGCACATATGTTAGTTATACTCCAGATTGCCTTCTCTATTGGAAATACTAACAGCCACTTTTAAAAAAACACACAAGCAAATGCAGGAAAAGAGCAATGAGCAAACTGATACATTATACAGGTTAGTTCTCCGAACTGCTCAGACATGTATTTCTTTTCTTGAATCAGGGTGTATGTTGCCCAGGCTCCTAGGCTCAAGGGATCCTCCCATCTCACACTCCAAGGTGGCTGGGACTACAGGTGCATGCCACCTTCCCACTACAGGTTTTGATTTCAGTGGCTTAATTAAGAGTTCTCTGGGAGTTTACAAGTGCACCAGAATTTCATACTGGAAACCTAATTTCAGTAGACACTTAATAAACAAATAACAACCGAACACTTAACTTTTGAAATTAAAGTTTAAAAGAGAACACTTCACTGGAAATTCAACTTCTTTTTTTTTTTTTAATTTTTTTAACATTTATTTATTTTTTCTTAGACACAACATCTTTGTATGTGGTGCTGAGGATCGATCCCGGGCCGCATGCACGCCAGGCGAGCGCGATACCGCTTGAGCCACATCCCCAGCCCCGAAATTCAACTTCTGACTGGCTGGCTTTGCTAACCGGATGAGAATGCAAGGCCAATGGTCCTACTGACTTTTGGCTAAGCTCCCCACCATCCTTTTTCCTTACCTTCTATTTCAGAGTCACTGTCATTTAGCGAGGGGATGTTGATGAGGGTCTGCTTGCTATCTCTCAACACAACGAGCTGGAGTTTTCCTCTGGACTTCTCTATCAATTTTCGTGCATCCATTAAAGACATGTTCTCAGTGACAGTTCCATTGATCTGTATTTATGAAAAATAATCATGCTATATATACAGTAGAATTTTCACAGCTAAGCATGCAATTTATATGTTTTCCTTCTACAAACATAAAGGTTTTGCTCAGATACTCAGACAGACTTGGACTTAGGATCATTGAATAAAAAAAACAAAATTTTTTTTTTAACCTTAGGCAATGAATATTTTTGTTTATTATGTTGCAGGTATATTATGCATAAAAAAGTTAATCTGCACGTCCTGGGTAGAGAATCCATAATTCTTACTCTCCAGAATTTCACATTCCATTACAGACATAGCAAACTTAAAAACCAAAACTGTTAATAAGAAAAATGGAAATTAATCCTCTAAGAAAATAACACTTAAAAAAATTAATGCACTAGTTATACATAATAATGGGTTTGGGGTTGGGGTTATGACTCAGCGGTAGAGCGCTCGTGTCGCATGTACAAGGCCTGGGTTCGATCCTCAGCACCACATAAAAATAAATAAATAAATAAAGTTATTAAAAAATGGGGTTCATGCTGACATATTCATAAATGCATATAACATAATTTTCTCCATTTCAATACCAGTACTATTTCCTTCCCTTCCCTCCTCCCTTCCCTGAGCCCCTTCCCCTATTCTACTGGTCTTCAACAATGCATTCCAATTTTATATATAACTATAATGCATTGAGTAAAAATAAATAAACAACAATTATCTTTTAAATTAAACGTAATCCTGAATACCTGGCTCCCAAATGCAACCATGTAAAAGCTGCAGTATACTCTGCTAATTTATTTAACTTGCAAGCTTAAGACAATTGTTTGGTTTACTACTGGAACATGTTTCCTCACTGGAGAGGTTTACGATAACTATTAAATTTAATCAGCATTCATATACTATCACTCTCCCTTTCATCTTTCCTTATTTTAAGGAGTAAAAACCTCAACTTTAAGTCAACAGGAAAAGAGATAGTATTTTTTGAGGTTTCTTTTAAAAAGTGACATTAAAGGGGCTGGAGCTGTAGCTTAGTGGCAGAGTGCTTGCCTAGCATGGGTGAGGCATGGGTTTGATCCTCAGCACCACATAAAAATAAACAAATAAAATAAAGGCATTCTGTCCATCTACAACTAGGGGGAAATAAATAAATAAATAAATAGAGTAAGTAAAGTAAGTGACATTAAAGTAGTTCAAAAGAGCAATGAGCAAATGGATACATTATATAGGTTAGTTCTCTGGTTTTTCTTCTTTTTCTTTTTTTCCCCCTCAGTGCTCGGGATGGCACTCAGGGCCTGGCATGTGCTCTACCATAGTACTATACCTACAGCCCTGAGTCTGGATTTTCTGATAAAATCATCTTGCTGTGCTGCTCTTCCTATTGATTCCCAACACAGCCAAGTTTTTCTTTATTGGCATTTGAACATGGAGTTGCATACTAGGAATGCATTTAGGAACATAGCTGTTCTCTGTCCTCATCCACCCACCTTGAGAATTATGTCCCCTTCATGAAGATTGCCATCTTTAGTTGCCAGACCTGTTCTGGTCATCTCCTTGATGAAGATCTGACTCCCCAGCCGGAGACCATACTCTAGAAACAAAAACATAAATACACACGTATGTCAGCCTAACTAGTATTTTAAAAATTACAAAAAATTAATATCATGTGGAATGTTCTATTGTATGGGCCTAGACTCTTATTTAAAAAAAAATCAAGGTCATTTAAAAAAAAAAAAAAAAGAGAGAGGCAGAGGAATTATTCCACATTTAAAAAGAGACATAAAAGCCAAAGGCAGTGCATGAACTCCATAGATCCTTGATCCAGCACAGGGGAGGGGATGGGTCACAATATTTTGGACTAATTCCAAAATGAGCTATATTATAATATATGACGGGCTATTAATGTTTATTTCCTTAAGTGTGACAGTGGCATTGTGATATAGGAGAATGTTCTTATTCTTGAGAGATTTCACCTGCTGGAATATTTACTGGTAATGAGTGAAGCTGCTTATAAGTTACTTTCAAGGGGGTTCAAAGAAAAAAGGGAGGAAAAGGACATAGAAAGCAAATGTAGCAAAATGTTAACAATTGGTAGAACTGGGTGAAGGCTATAGGTGTAAGCTAGAAAATTAATACTTTTCAAATAAAATGTTGGAAACAAAAAAGCAACTCAGCACATCTTCTGCTGACAATGAGGCTGCCCCCAAAAGGAAGTACGCAATACTCCCTTCTGTAACAATGTAACCGGTACAGGGTCATGCGCTGAAAGTTCAGTGTGTGAAGAAAAGCAGTACGACAGGCAAGGCAATTCTGAAAGAATTCAACTAAAGCCAGCAGAGCTCTGGGTGTTCATGCATTTGGCATTACCATCAAATGAAAATAACACATTAACTAAGGATGTGTGTTTTTAAATATTTTAAATGTTCTTCAAACTATTCTGATTTTCCTTATTAAACCTGTGAGAACATGCATTTTAAGGATGAATTTTGGTTACTTTAAGAAGCTATCACAATCTAGAAGTCTGAAAACAAATACATTCATTTTTTTAAAAATTATCACCACTGTTCTGAAAGAAAATCTTATTATAAAACAGTAACTTTCTCTAATTCAGGAAAGTTATGAAGTAAATTTAAAAATTAAGTTTTTGATGGTTTACAGTAAACCTGAATCCCTCACATACACAAGGAGCTGATAAGAATACCAAACAGGAAGGGTGAGGACTCCTCTACCTTCATGGGTGATGACCCTCTACTGGCCAAACAGCATCACAGCCCCGGACACAAGGCTGACAAGTCTGAATAATTTCTTTCTTATATATCAATACCCCCTCTATCTTCTTAAAAATTGCACTTCTGTTATACCTTTGCAAATAGATTTGTTAATGTATGTGTGGGCATTTCTTAAATGAAGAAATCAGCAGACCAGCTTCTAAGACCTTGATATGCAAGGTGATATGGTGCCCAATGAAGTGAGCCTATGAATTGATGGTATTTTTTCCTTAATCAAATGTATGTCTGACCTATTGTTGAACTTCTTATGCACACTATTCTTATGCACACTAGACAGTGAAAGCTAAGTTATTACATAATCTTAGCAAAGGGAGAAAAAAAATTCTTTTAAAGTGGAGGGCTGAGGCTGTAGTTCAGTGGGAGAGCACTTTCCTAGCACATGTGAGGCCCTGGGTGCAGTCCCCAGCAAATGCTCCCCCCACAAAACACACACACACACACACACACACACACACACACACAGAAGTGGAATTGTTTATATAGTGATTTCCTGATTTGGAGAACAAAATGGCCAAGAAAGAGCAAAACACTGTATGAACACAGAGGCATAACCCCCTTTTTTTCCCCCTTGATTTACTAAGACTGGTTATGTTGGGGGCAGTCTCTTAGGATAATGTGTTTCTAAATTGTGGGGTTTGAGATCAACTTAGTGGGCTGCAACCAGTATTTTAAAAATTTAATGTAATGGAATTCTCAGGTACACCACACTGAATAGGTAATGTTCCACCAAACTTCTGTTAAAGTTTTTGACGTGGAGGTGCTTCTATGATTATTTACAAGAAATAGTTATTTTCATGGCAGGAGCTAGGGAAAGAGGGAAGAAGGTGGAGGAAGAGCAAAAGGAGAAAGAAAGGAGAAGTTTGAAAAGCAGTGCATTCAGGAACTTAAGATCCTGGGTGCATGCCCCAAAGCATGGGGTCAGACTCTTAAAGAGGTGTCTCTTATCATATTCTCACTCTCAAAACTTCTCTACATCCCATCTGTCAATCTAGACACAGGGTGGTTCTTATTCTGCTTGAGGGTTCTTGAATGATCACCTCCTCACAAGAGTCATAAAAATTCTGTGAAATCATTACACCTAAGATGCACCTTCCTCAGGATGATGCGTTCTCAGCTTTCAGCTTTATTTTCTCACCCTCAACCCCACTCAGCCCCTCACATTATTCTTCAGTTATTTCAATAGGCACCTGGTTATATAACTCAACCCTTTATGAAAAATTCAGAGAAAACAAGCCCTCTCATTTGGCAGGCTATTTAAATGCAAATCCCCAAACTGAAAAGCAAGAGGTCTTTCACTTTCACTTTGCATGGGGGTGGGGGCACTTTTCATCTTTTTTTCTCTAGAAATAACCATTGGAGAGCAAAAGGAGATAAGATATGTTAGAAGAAATTTTAAGTCAGAAGACAAGAACTGATGCTAGGACTAGCTCAACAGTAGGCTCTCAAGCCCTGTTCACTCACCTACTGATCTCCTATCAGCTACTCCCAGGGGATGGAGTTTGAGTTCTAGCTCCACCATCTACATACTGGCTTCAAGACGAGCAAGTTGCTTCCCCATCTGAGTCTCAGAATCTTCACCTATGAAATACAGGCGCTAACTGCTTCTCTAGCTGCAATATAGAGTTTTGAGAGACCACCTCCACCACAGATCTACCCAAACACCTCCCTGTATCATGGTATTCCTGACCTACAGCACTAGAATAAAACCTCCTTCCACACAGGCTTCTTATAAGGATTAAATAAGAGAATATTTACCCAGCATAGCTCCTGGCATAGAACAGAAAATCAAGAAGTGCTGGAGTACTGTCTTCTCTCTTGGTTTCTCTAGCTTGAGAAGCCCACTACCTGCAGGCCCCAGGGCCACTCCATGTTTCTGATTCCATGGGGCTGGGGTGAGGCCTAAGAATCTGCATTGTAACAAGTGTCCAGGTGATATGCTACTTAGAGAACCACTGGCCTGGTCATGCAAAGCCAAACTTGGAGAGCCTGGTTTTGCCATGGTGAAACTATTGCACAGGGCAATGGACTCTTCTATGCCTGTTTCTTTGTCTATAAAATAATGGTACAGGCGGTGCTCCCTCAGGGTGCAGTTTGTAAGAATTAAATGAGCCAACAGGTGACCGGCACTGAGGTCAAAGCTGGGCACCTAGGAGGTGCTATGGAAGAGCTGGTTATAACTAGTAGCACAGTGCTTGTTTTCCACCTACCTTCATTAGGTTTGCTTTTCATCAGAAGGACCCCAATGGGCCTGTCCGAGTCTGACTGGCCGGTGTGCTCTGGCCGAGCCCTGGGCTGGGGGCTGGGGCTGCGGGAATGCAGGTGCTCTCGGCTGTGGCTCCTGGCGCCCTCGTAGCGGGCATCGGGCTGCGCCCTGCGGCGGTGCTCGGTGGGAGGGCTGTAGGTGCGATCTTCGGGCTCGTAGGCCTGGTGATAGGCCCGCTCGTAGTCCCGGTCAATGCTCCGGCCACGGCTGCGGTCCCGAGGTGGTCCAAAGCCTTGGTCCAGGCCGCGCTCCAGGCTCCGGCCACGACTGCGGTCTCGGGAGCGTCCATAGTCCTGGTCCAGGCCGCGCTCCAGGCTCCGGCCACGACTGCGGTCTCGGGAGCGTCCATAGTCCTGGTCCAGGCCGCGCTCCAGGCTCCGGCCGCGGCTGCGGTCCCGGCTGCGGTCCTGCTCCCGGCTGTATGCCCGCTGGTAGGGACGGCCCCTTTCGTCCTCCCAGCTGTGGCTCAGCCGGTCGTGGCTGCTATGCCGGCTCCTCTCGCTGTACCCGCTGCGGAAACTTCCACCATCAAAGTCGTCCATCGCCTCAAAAGCCCGGTCATCCTGACTGAGGGGTGGGCTGCCCTGCGGCGGCGCCACCTGCACCTTCCGGGGCCTCTTGACTACCTGTCAACAAGGCAGACACTGTTGGATGCAGGACAGCCGCAATTCAACACAGAGAAGGAGGTGGTCAGGGTGCTGGTTCTAGTTTCAATAAAACAGGTCCCTCTTCACTCACAGCATCAGAAAATGAAGAAAAACACCCCCCCACCCCCGAACAAACAAACAAACAAAAATAACCCTCTGTCTCTTAAACAATCAGCTATGACCCTGCCTGTGCACTAAGTCTTGGGTTTCTCATCAGGAACCAGAGTCAGTTAAAACCTCAGGGAGTTAAAATAAGACAATAACTGTGAAGGCTCTGCATTCCCTGTCTCAAATGGAGAATAATAAGAACATCTGATTCCATCGAGAGCAAAAAGCCTCAGAGGCCGGAACTCTCTATATTATGAAGATTCAGAAAGTGAGACATTCTATATGTAACTGCCTAGACTCTTCCAAAATTTAATACAACTAAAAAGAAGGGGTGCCAGGCACATGCTTATAATCCCAGTGACTCATGAGGCTGAGGCAAGAGGATAACAACTTTGTGACCAGCCTGGGCAACTTGGAGAGATCCTGTCTCAAAATCAAAAATAAAAAGGGCTGGAATTACAGTTCAATAGAAGTTCAATTCCCAGTAAACCCCCTCCACCTACACACACACACACACACACACACACACACACACACAGGGAAAGGAGGGAGAGAGGCAAGGGAAAAAAGGTACCCTTCTAGATTAAAAGAGAGTAAAGAAATAATTAGATGATTAAATGTGGATCCTGGAAGAAGAAAAGACTTTAAAAGACATCTTGAGATATGCACTGAATATCAGGTCATACTGCAGAAATACAAATTTTCTTAATTATGTTAATAGCATTATGGTACTTAGAAGAACGTCCTTATTCTTAGATTTATGCTGAAGTAAGAACTGTCATGACATCGTGATGTTGCCTAGATAGGAGAACTGCTGGCTTTAGGAGAAGGACGAGGAAAAGGCCAGAAGGATGGCTTATGCACATCTTCACATCACCCATAACATCACCCTCCAAAAGCACTAAGGACACAAGAAGCTAGTGGGCCCTAGGTTACGTAATTCTATCAAATGCTCAGAAGGAAGCGGTAATTTTCTTCTGGGCATAAAAACAAAATGCTGTTGAGGCAGTACTTACAATGGCAGCAATCTTCCCACTTTTTCTCAGCTGCTGAACTGCAAATGAATGGAGCACATCCTCCATGGGGGTGCCATTAACCATGACCACCCTGTCATTTTCTCTGTAAACAAGAAATAAAAACAGGTCATGAAAAACTCCCATCTACTTGATGGAAATCATTTATTTAGATAGAACATAAGCAGCAAATTGACCCAAGATGCTTATTAAAGGGCTCCCAAAGATCAGTCAACTTGGTCAGAGTTCTTCTGAGGAAGGGAATTGAGCCACAGAGCTCAATTTTTTTTTTTCAAAATGTTAAGATTTTATTTACAAAGCTTTTTTGTTGTACAGAGAGTAAAAATGCTGTTACAATCTTGGTGTGACTGGTAGCCT